AAAAATGTTTCTTTTTTGGACAACAAACGGTTACCAGGGCCCCGAAAATTTCTTCCTCAAAGAACGGTGAATAATCTATTCTTAACTCAGTTGTTCATAGAATAACGTTTCACACTGTCCCCTAGATGAGAATTTGTAGGAACTTGTGATAGGTTTGTGAAGATGAATTTATGCAACCCGCTTAGAATTGTTTTGATTGACAGATGTGTGGTAAACTTTTGTACCGTCCGTGCGTTCTCGAATCGGATTGTGCAGCTCAGCCAACTCAGTCGTCGTTCGTTCGGTATTTTGGTGAATGAGTGGCACCTTGAGCTTTGCCGCATACTTCAACGATTCCTTTCCCTAATCAAAACGTCCATAGCTGGAATATTGTGCATTTGCCACCAGAGATCTGTGAAATTAGTGCATCCTGGTTTACTTCTTATTCATTGGAGCGATAAAATCATAACTGATAAAGATCTTCGATTATTGTGTTTTATGCAATATGATAATTGATGGTGGATGAAAAAAGCAGTCAATAAAAAAAGACGAATCATCCTTTCTGTTTCTCAGGCTTTCATAAGTATATTTTCAAGGTCGTCCAACTGAAAGGTTAACCAAATATGAGCACAAAATGTTCATGTGAAACCCACCATAAAAGGGAAGCGGATCCAGATCCCAGCGCATTCGGTGAAGATATAATCTAGCGCCTTCTAGTAACTTACTATTCGCTTTGAGTGTAATTAGTATTCGTACTTCACTAAACCCTTCTGTTCATGGTGTTTGCATTTACCCTAATCAGTTACCCGCGCCTGAAAGGCTTTGTGTTCTTCGTCCGTTCCAGCGGTCGTGAAAGTCAACCCACGTTCAAAGTCTTTTTACTTTCTTTTTATTCATTGAACACAAATTGCATACAAGATTCAGGACCGGGGGCGGGACCATGCAAAGGCTACTTGAGAAGACGGGCTAAGGTGGAGCGGGTCTCACAGGTCACAAGTTGGTGACCTAACCACTTAGCCACCACCACCGCATTCATATGGGACATCCCGCCACAAATTAAGGTCCGATGATGACGATTTCTGAAAATGTACGAAATAGCTTCATTGTGGACCTAACTGTTCTGTGTGTGTGTGGTTAGTGACAAGTAGTCTATCATGACAAAGACGTTTTCATATTATCCGTAAATAAATGCTGAGAATATTGACACCGTTTTTCGTCTCAAGGATTCCATTTATCTTACCGTACCTGATTTGTACTATATTTCGAAAGGTGTTAAAACAAAGAGAAGAAAAACTCACTGAGCTGTTACATTTTTTAAAATCTTCTAAGTGGCCATAACGTCTAACAATCTGTTATTGCCTTGCCGTTCAAGGGGGATACATCAGAAGAAGTAATACAAAGGAGACTATCAGGTGCTGTTAGTAATACCTTCCATGCAGTAAAGCTCAATGTTTTGTTCACTTCCCAGCCAATTGTGTGTTTACGACTAAAGGACAAAATGCCGGATTCTGCCGTCTCATTTTGTGTGTAC